TTATGTTTTTTGTAGAGAACAAAAATTTTGCAGAACTTGTCAGAGTTCCAACTTTGTATGTATGTGAAAGGCATACAGTTTCCCTCTTTGAAAAAAGATGGCCTTGGATGGAAGGGGGTGGCTTTCAATGAGCAAAGGTGTAAAATCTAAACAAAGTAATCTTCTATTTCCCCAAAATAAATTAAACATATAAACAAAGGTGGTACCATATAAGAGACAGGTCTTTCAATATAAAAAAAATTGAAAACTTGGACCCTTGTGCCCACAAAAAAAAAAACAAAAAAAAAACGAGTGTCAAAAGTATAGTTTTCCCCTTGACACCACAATTATTTTAACTACCCACACTCCTCAGCAATATTTATTGTTTTAAAAAGCAATTATTAGTACTGTAATAAAACCTAAAACATGATGATAGTGAATTTATATTTTTTGTTCTTGAGATTTTACAACAAAAATATTAAACGCCATTTATTAAATTGTTTATTTACAAGAATAATTTTATATTTACAACATTCTAAAAACTAATTGTATTAAAACTAATGCAATGAAATATTTATTACTTACCAACTTATAAAGAAATAAATATGAAAACAATTTTTATTCATAAATTTATAAACATTTACTAAATTATTAAGATATGACAACCAACTCTAAGGAAATCCTTATTTACCATTTTATAAAGTCTGAATCAGTTAGCAATTAGCCAATGTTTTGCCAACCATTCTAATAGAGTAATTAAACAATCTAATAAATAATGTTTATTATTTTTTATACCAATTCTCAAGAAAAAATGTATAAATTCACTTTCATATGTTTAGGTTTTATTATAATTCTAATTATTGCTTTATAAAAATAAACATTGCTGAGGAATAAAGATAGTTAAAATAATATGGGTGTCAAGGGAAAAATTGTCCTTATTGACACCGATTTTTGTGGGCATGAAGGTCCAAGTTTGTAAAAAAAAAAGTTTAATCAAGGGGGTAATCAAATAAGGGAGTTTCTTTCAATTTCCAATAACTCAATAAGATGGTGGGGGGATGTCATTCAATTTCCAAAAATTACAATGGGGGTGTACTTATGAAAAATAAAAAGAGGTTTTTCAATTTTCAAAAATTTAATAAATGGGGAGAGAAGATGGTACTTTTTCAGAGAGACAACTGAACATTAAGTATGTATTTATAAGTACAGGGGTCCTCGACTTAATACAGAGTTCTGTTCCTATGATGCATCGTAACATGATTTTTCGTTAAAGTCAGAAACTACTCATGATTTTGTGCAAATAAGGACATGTCACTCACCTATGTTAATGCAATAGTAAATTAATAATCTACAACATAAAACATTTCTATAACATATGTTGACATAATTGGAACTAAAAAAAAAAGGAAAAAACATATGGAAAACAAATATATATATATATATATATATAATGAAATGAACATAATATAACAAAAGTTTAAATGGAGATTGCATCATAACCAAAAATTATTATAGGTTGGGACTGTCATAACCTGGGGACTTACTGTATGTATAAAGCCAAATTGAATGTGTTGATATTTCTAGAACAGTTTTTCTTAACCTTTTTAAGCAATGACACACCTAGGAACAGATCAAAATATCACAACATACTTAGCAAAATTTTTAAAGGGGTATACTTTTAAATGTGATGAAATAAAACCAGAGATTTTAAAAAATACACAAAAAAATATGAACTTACTTTATTTCAATGTTTCTATTCAGCTATTTGTGCAGCTTAGTGTGAAACCTGTGCCTGGCGTTTTTTCATGATTTCTTCAAGGTTTGCTCAAATGTGCTTATAAGCAGACCTTGTTTCTTCTTCAGTTGAGCGTCGTCTTTCTAGCTTCTTATTTTTGATGTTATTTAGAGTTAAGCTTATTTCACATAAATAAGTAGAAAATACTAATGTTGTACCATTACTACTTCTACACACATACATATGTATGCATGCCATGACAATATTTTGTGGCACAACGGTTGAGAATCACCGTTTTTGAGTAATAAAATATACTACTAATTCACAATCCCAACCAATAAACATGCATTTTTCCTGTGGTGCGTTCCTTGCAAATATGGAATTTTAATAAAAGGTAGGGTTCGAATAAAGTGTGGTATGGCGCTTAATTTCCAAATGTTTAATAAGCACATGCCACCTCCTCTTTATTCGAGAGTCAATACTTGTCAGCCATCAAAATTATCTAGAGGTTAATGTAATTTCTTTCTGTCACATTGAAGGAAAAGAAATATCTATCTTTCTATATCAGGAATGAGGAGACAAAAATGAAGGTCAGTCAAGATATACAAACATAGCTTTGTGTATCTGATTACAGTATTTTATATAAATTGTTCACTTGTCAAAGTAAATGTATACAACAAACATCAGCCAACCAAGTTTTTAACCTAATGAATAGTGCTCCTTTACAAAGAAAAACTTTATGAATCTATATAATTTAAGATTTGATAAAACAAATACTCAAATTAGTAGACACATTATGAGAATGTATTGTTCATCAATTTCAGATAAAATAAGAGATTTTATATTGAAAATTATTAAGAAATATCCCTACTCAGTAGATATCAACTTAAAATTTAATTATAATTCACAGAGAACAATAGAAATTATACAGCATTTAAAACATATGTAAAATTATTAATCTGCAATTTCAACTTTTAAGCTTAGTTATTACATTAAAAATTTTATGCTCATTTTTATGAGCATTTTTGTTAAATATTCATGCACAGTGAGTGTGTTCACTACTATATCCATGTGCCATGTATAAATAAAAGACAAAGTATCAAGTAGCTACTCAGAGTAGCAGTCTAAGTTGAAATAGTAAGGGGAGTCATTAAGAAATCTTTCTGTGTCCAGTCTATTTCCTGTGGCATGAAAACTGTCTTCATAAAAAAAATTGGACTTATATATATATATATATATATATATATATATATATATATATATAATTTGCATCAACTAAAAATTTCTGGAGTATAAAAGTTTCAAATCAACAACTTATCTTTCTTTTATCTGAATAAGTTAAAGATTTTTGTAGGGTTAAATTTTCATCCCTTTTCAACATTACATTATTTATAGTCAGCTCTGCGTGTTGGCCATTATACTTTTTGAACTTTGTCTGCTGTCAATCTGATGGCCTGACAATTGCGTTTAAGCATGAAGCAGATGGTTACTGCAAGGCTGACTTCAATATCCACTCTTATATTTACATATGCTCTATCCCTGATATTGAGCACACCTTAAAATCATATATATAATTTAAATATGTTATAAAATCACTACAAAAATAGTCATTTTGTTTCAACATTTCTGGTGTCTTATTAAGTGATGGTGTTGAATATAGAATAAAGGGTTTTAAAAGGTTCAAATCAATAATTTTTCGCTTTAGGGGGAAATTCTGTTACATAAGCTGCAATGACCAATCAAAATACAAGTATATAAGAATTCAAAAAACTTGGTTATAATAATTAATGCTTTAATGTTAGGGTTAGACTAAAATAGAAATCATTCTAACTAATTAATATTAAATTTTACTATAAAATTGAAAATTAAAAATTACCAATTTTAAATTTAATCTGTTTTTTATGTTTAAAATATGAAATTATTTAAAGAAGAAACTGAGGAAAAATATATACGTTTTGTTATTTATTTTGTTTTAATTGAAAGGCCAAAAATTTAGTTAGAATAAACATTAAAATCTAATGTTGATGCTAAGCTTCGTTACAGCTCAAATACATTTGAAGTGGTGATATGGGCAGGGGGAGGGTGAAATCTTGCAAAAGACAATACATACACAATCAGATTATAATACACAAACACGTAGACATATTTAGATATATAAACATGCAAAAACACAAACAAAACAGGAAATAAATGTCCAGGACCCTTAAAAAAAAAAAAAAAAACAGCAACATATACATACAATAAAAGGAATATATAAGTGATCATACACACATATACACACCAACAAATAGTCAAATTCGAAAGTGTTAGTAAATGAATTCAAATGTACTATTAAAATCTAACTTACATGAGCAAAGATATTTAGATAAAATGGTTCTATATATATATATATATATATATATATATATATATATATATATATATATAGAGAGAGAGAGAGAGAGAGAGAGGAGACAGTGGAGTAATGGATAGCGAGTCTCAGATTGAGTAATCGGAGAACCAAGTTCAAATTACAGTCAGATTTATTACATTCACTTACATGCAAATAATCTTAGGAAACTTATGAATCCTCTTTTTTTGCCCCCAGCTATAGGTAAATAGCAGAACAGGCTGGATTCTACAGCCTTGAGTGCCAACAAGTCTAGGAGAAGAGTTAAGAGGTGGCTCCATGCTCCTCAAAACATCCAATCTCCAATCAGAGGCCTTGCTGCTGGATGTAGTTTATCATTATACCCAGGATGGACAAGTTGTGGAGAACCACAATCGCCCATGTTCTGAAGGGACATGGCATAGACAAGAATTATTATTATCTTATGATTTATGCTTACATGACAAACTGATGCCTTTTTTTTTTCCCCCTCTATGTATCTTAATTATAATTTTCAAAAATGAAAATTTAATTGAAATATGTTGGATAATTTCCCAAAGTTTTCATTTGAAAGCAAGAAAATACAAACTTTAAGCAAAAAATGTATATAAAAACAAAAATGAAGGTGTCATTTTACACAGATGCATGATGGATTTGTTTTTTTTATATCTTATCAACCTTTTGCAGGTTGTTTAAATCCAATAAACATTTTTAGTTAGAATTTTTTCTTAGAGATAATGATTTAGTGATACAAGTCTCACTAATTAACCCATAGTTTGAAGGAGAAGGTGGATACATACCTTTCCCAAGGGTATTTACACGTAAGTAAATATAACAAACCCAACAGGATTTCAAACTCAGCTTTTCAATTAACAATTCTGAACCCTTATCCATTAGACCACCTGCACATCCAAGCTTATAACACCTGGTATTCCCAAGTGGTCACTTATCTAATTACTGATCTGGCTCAATGTTGCTTAACTTCAGTGATTGTACAGGAACTAGTGCTTAAATTTGAATGTAAGCCAGCAGGATATGGGTTAGTTTGTTAATATGTTATTAAACTAGCTAATCTAACTGGTAATTAACACCAACGATACAGTTCTTTTCAGAGCAGTTAAGGCAAGAAAAGCTTTAAACTAAATGTCAAGTTTCTGTTTCTAAAAGGCAGTTATTTCACTAAGCCATTTATTTTACTGCAATCTTTTTCCCCATACATATTCAGTTTCCATTTCTTGAACTACTTTTAACAATAACCATTCCCACTAATACGGCTATTATCATTAAAAATATTTATTCTTTATTCAAACACATTTGTCAAGCAACCACGTGAAAGATCCACAAGAAACAGTGTATTCTGATTTAGAGTTACTTTTATCAACAACTGTGTCAAGGCTGCAGAAATGAAGGCAAGAAATTTTTTTATTATTCTTATAGTAAATTCCATTCTGAGAAACATGAGAGGAGGAGGTGGAATAGGTGTAGGAAAAGTTGTTTAATAATCTGCAAAAGGATACTGAACATGGAAAAACAGGATAGCATATCAGTCAAAAATGATTTTAAAATGAATAGGCTATCCCCACAAAAAATGTTTTAAGTGTGCTGGCTTTACTAACCTAAATTTCAGCTGTATAAGTAAACCTATAATAAAAACTTGCTTTCCTTCAATGATATTTACTATCATTCAGTTTTGTTTTGTTTCTTATGTTCCAGTTTTATATAAATTGTAACAAATGGGAATTCTGGCTAATAAACAATATGGCACTTGTTTTAACCCTTTGGAGATGGAGCCTCATTTGAAGTTTCGGTGCCAAAAAGACAGAACCCTTTTCACAAGCCCTCACTGGAAAAAAAAAAAAAAATCTATATAAAATCACCAAACACTGCAAGCTACCATAGAAGCTATCATTTAAAGACCCAGATGTGCAAGAAATGCAATCTGATTGGCTAGTGCTAAGACCATCCAGCCAATTTCAAGGCTTGTATTATCAAGCCAATGGCTCAGCCCTGCTGTCTTCTTCATCATTCGACTTTTCAGACGATAAATCAACCCTGTTGTCTCCTAAGGGTTAAACAGAATACACCAATTTTGCATTTCTATTTATGACTGCCAAATTATGATTCAATTCAGACTTTAACGTGCAAATACTTTTGATATGTGACAAACAATATATCTCTAAAATGCTATGTCCTTTCAGAACATAAGCAATCATGTATCATCAGTTACTTTTTCTTCATTATCAGTGAGTTGCCATGCCTCCTTGTGAAGGACAGTGGAATGGTTCTCCATTGTCATTGTAGCATTGCAGCTCAGACCAGATACCAGGTTCATTCTCAGAGTGCAAATCCTCCAGCCAGATTGTTACCCACAAAATAAAGCCATGAGAATTTGTAACAGTAAACAGATTTTATTGTAATCTACTGCTATAGATGACCAAATCCAAGATGAAGCCTAGGTGAAGGGAAAGGTGAACAGTTTAATGGTTGTCTGTTGTCCTCTGTGGGCATTCACAATCTCTCTGAATTTTCATGGTCAGTGGTAACTCTCTTAAAGAACATTGTTCTTTCTCGTGTCATTTTTGAGTACTTTATCTTCATTCAGTGATCTTCTTTATCCCAGCTGCTTGCTATGTAGTTGTGAAGTCCTGTCCACTTATGGATTACCATATTGGGGGGAATAAATGTTCAAATTCATTTTTGAAACTTGTTTTCCATTTAATAAGATATCATCTGACTGATATTGCTTCATCTTCTCCACAGTTTGGCATTCAGAGGGTTTCTTTTACACTGGTTGCCAATCAAGAATAGCTGGGAGGGGATAGATTCATGCCTTTCCCAAGGGCATCAATGTAAAAGTAAAAGTAAAAGCAAAAGACTAGTCTAGAATTTAGGGCTGGTGCGTGCTACACTCAATCCAGGGGGCCAAGCCTAATTGGGAGACCCAGGCAGTGCTTTGTGACTCTTGCTATCAACATTTGCTTTTTTTTCTAACTACATTTATATATGTTACAGATTAAATTAAGCACAACTGTCTATTTAGGGATGAAAAATTTTCAGATTTTGATGTCATTTTGGGGTCATTTTTTTTTTTTGTCTAAATTTTTTTTGCTCATGCAAAGTCTCAAAAAAAGAAAAAAAAACACTATATAAAATTCACTATTTTTGTGGGGAGGGGGCACAAGACTTTTGCATTGACCCAGCTAGAATTTGAACTTGGCTTATCAATTCCACCTTCAACACTGATATGCAAACTACATATTCTTCAACAACATTGTAATGTTTGTGAAGAAAAACTTGAAAAATCTTAAGGTAGACAAAATAAAAATCTTATCACTACCGAGTTAAAGATTAAAATTTAATTAACTTATAATTTACAGAGAAAGCTAATTACAGAGTGCTTAAAACATGAAATTATTAACTTGCAAAGTTTTAGCTTTTAAACATGTATAATCATTAAGTTATTAGAAATTTTATACACTTCAAGCAACACGCATTCAAATTGAGCTGAGGATTTTACTGTTAAAATTTTGTGTCTACTACTATGTCCATGTGCTAGTTATGAATAAAAGGACAATGTATCAAGTAGTCAGCCTGCAGGATAGACTAAGTAAGAATCTGAGTAGGAATTGAAGTAACAGCCCCAGTCAAAGTTGTAAGGAGAATGAATTAAAAACATCTTCATGTGTTTTTAGTCTATTTGCTGTTGCATGAAAACGGTTTTCATAAGAAACTGGAGTAAATAAAACAAATGCACTTTTGTAAAACACCAATAATTTTTGGAATATAAAAATTTTGGAGTAGTTCAACATATATATTTTTATTTTTTTACAAGTTCAAAATTTTCACCTCATCAACCCTCTGAAACATACAAAGAAGCTAATATTCTTTCTTCACCCAAGGAAAGAAACTAAACATGCCAAGTGCTAATCTCTAACAATGTACTGCTTCATCTACATACACACTCTTATTAAGTAGTAATAGTTTCTTGCCATTTTTTACGATATCATCTTTGCTGCACTGTCTGTTATCTTCAATCAACTGCTGAACTCTACAAATAAGTTTTGTCTTTCTTCAGACGAAGCCATTACGGCAGCTTTCACCTTCCTTCATTAATTACTTATCACTCTCTCTCAAAGGATATGTACATAATGTAGCAGTCATTGGCACAAAAAGAGTGATTAAAATGTCAAGTTCAAATTCCAGGCAAATTTCACAAATACCCTTGAAAAGGTATGAATCCATCTCTTTTCCTACTGGCTAGAGGTTAATATCAGAGCAGACTAAAAGATATTTAATAAAAAAAAGTAACATATTTGAAATTTTTTTTTACAGCAATACTCACTCTGTACAATGCCCAAGAGCCACTCGTGAGATTATCATCTTCTCACTTGAGTAAGAGGTGCCACCCTGAACAAGGTGATAATGCCACTAAGTCACAAGGGGCTACCAAATATGAAAGGAAAGCAAAAGACTTTAGAGTGAAGCAGAAACCCAATCCTAAATAGGAAACAAGGGATAAACCTCTAATCCTGTTCAAAGGACCGAGGAGGAATGTGAACTAGACGATAAGCACACCTATGTATTTCTATTAAAGAAAAAACATTGAGGACATGGTGGGGTGAAAATATTTAACTCCTCTAGAAAAAAGAAAAAAGAAAAAGAAAAAAAAAGAAAAAGAAGAAAAAAGAAAGAAAAAAAAAAAAAAAAAAGAGGAAAGGAGAAGAAAAAAGAAAAAGAAAAAAAGAGGAAAGAAAAAAAGAGGAAAGAAAAAAGCAGATAAAGTGTAAATCCAAAATTTTTATATTCCAGAAATGGTTTAAGTGATTTTTATAAAAATATTTTTTGTTTTTTTTAGTTTGGTTTCTTATGAAGAGAGCTTTTTATGACAGGAAACCAATTACACAAGTTTGTTTTTTGGGGGGGTTTTTTTTATTCTTCTTACTTCTTTGTTACTAAGACTGGGTACTTGATAAGTTCTTATTTGATGTGAGGACATAGAAGTGAACACAATTTAACAGAATAAAAATGATTGGTTTCATTATAAAGTGTATTACTTGAACAATAAAAATACATATAAATGCTTAAAAGCTGAAACTCGGCAAATTAATAATTTGATGTTGATAATTTCATAATTTTCAATAAAAACAGGTTTTTAATTTTTCTAAAACTAATTAACTAGAATAATTAATAGCGTCTGCAATTTAACCTGTCTTAAATTCATCTATATCATCAAATATCAATGTAGATGGGTTTTTAAAGTTTTTTCCTCACAAATGTTACAGATTGTAACATTGTTAAATACAAGTTCAAGCTTTCAGTCACAAGTTCTAAACAAAGTGCTTAAGTTTTGTTTGTGAGTATTCTTCATTTATCCCACATTGGCACTTGTAAAATTTTTCTTTACAAACACTGCAAGTAAAACAAAGTACTATTCAATACAATGTCCACTATTTTTATGTAAGAAAAAGAAAAAAGAAAAAAGAGAAAAGAAAAAAAAGAAGAAAGAAAAAAAAAAAAGAAAAAAAAGAAAAAAAGAAAGAAACAAGAAAAAAAAAAAAACAAGAAAAAGAAAAAAAAAAGAAAAACAAAAAGAAAAAGAAAAAAAAAAAAAAGAAAAAGAAAAACAAAGAAAGAAACAAGAAAAAGAAAAAGAAACAAGAAAAAGAAACAAAAAAAAGAAACAAGAAAAAAAAAGAAACAAGAAAAAGAAACAAGAAAAAGAAACAAGAAAAAGAAACAAGAAAAAGAAAAAAAGAAACAAAAAAAGAAAAAAAAAAGAAAAAAAAGAAAAAAAAAAAAAAAAAAAAAAAAGAAAAAAAAGAAAAAAAAGAAAGAAAAAAAGAAAGAAAAAAAAAAGAAAAAAAGAAAAAAAAAGAAAGAAAAAAAAGAAAGAAAAAAAAAAAGAAAAAAAAAAGAAAAAAAAAAAAAGAAAGAAAAAAAAAAAAGAAAAAAAAAGAAAGAAAAAAAAGAAAGAAAAAAAAGAAAGAAAAAAAAGAAAGAAAAAAAAGAAA